TAAATCTAAAACTAACACTAGTTTATTATTTAAATCTGCAACCAAATCTTTTTACTGCTTAAATGATGCACGAGGTCATAAACACTTCATGAAAATAACTTTATAGCCCAGCAGCTGAGTCGCTGTCACCCTGCAGGAATGTCACTAAATGTGGCTCTTTAGGACGTAAAAATGCACATTTCATTTGAAATGAAGCCCAGGGGGGAGGGAGGCAGGTTCACAGTGGGCTTAGCCTAAGAGCAACTTTAAGGCAGGACGACAGGCTGTGGAGGTGAGTGAAACATTAATTTGGCCGCAGGTGGAAGGAGTTGTTCACTATGGGACATTAGATTGGGGCCTCGTCCTCAATAATGAGGATGTTGCTTCGATCAGTCGCAGTGAAGGAAGAGTTGAGTCGAACAGCAAAGCTCTGTCTTCATTTCAACTGTTACCTTTGGTCATGAGGTTTGAATCGTGGCCAAAAGAACAAGAGCCTGGATACAAGTTTAAGTTCAAGTTGTGTTTATTTCTCATATGCAAGGTAAACACAATGAAATGCTTAGGATGAGAAGAACCGATTTGACTCGCTAACAAATCAAAGAACAAAACAACACGAAAATACAAAAAAGCATGCAATAAGGGTACAAAAAAAAAAAGTACCAAAAAGTGAAAAAGTAATTAATGAAAATATTTACAATGTCCTAAAGAGAGATACTGAGCAACAACATGGTAGAATATAAAGGTGCAGCAGGATGAATTTGAACAAGTATTTTGAAGTAGTATATGAGCTAAAATGCACATGATATATATATATATATATATATACACACACACACACACACACACACGCACGCACACACACACATGCACACACACTCATATATTGTATATATATATATATATATATATATATATACTGCACATAATCAACATATACCACATATAGGTTATTGCACAGTTGCACAGGTAGTGTGACATTGAAATTGAATTATTAGTTAGTTATTGTCAGTTGTTCAGTGTTAGTTATTCAGAGTTCAGTAATATGACAGCTTGTGGTTAATAGCTTGTGGTTTAGTCTTTTTTTTACACGATGGTAGGCTCCCGTATCGTCCGCCTGAGGATAGTAGATGGAATAGTCCTTGTGCTGGCTGGGTGGGTGTGGTCTTTAATGATGCTGCGTGCTTCACGCAGACATCGACTGTGGTAGACGTCCCGGATGGTGTAGAGACTGCTACCAGTGATGTCCTCTGCTGTTTGCACCACCCTCTGTAGAGCTTTCTGACTGGTGCAGTTCCCGTACCACCCTGTGATGCAGCCTATCATCAGGCTCTCCATGGTGCACCTATAAAAGTTGATGAGGATGCTGGTCTTCGTACCAAACTTCTTTAGTCTTCTTAGGAAGTTGTCTATCTTTCTTGACCACAGTGTCTGTATGTAAAGTCCAGGACAATTCCTCTGTAATATGAACGCTGAGGAACTTGAAGCTGCTGACTTGCTCCACCTCAGCATTATTTTTGTTGAAGGTGGAGTGCTGGCCTCCATGATACAAGTGGCTGAAATGAGCGTTCTCAGCAGGGTCGGGCTCAGCCTTAAATATGGGGGTGAGCTTGGAGAAGATTTGCTGCTGCTTTGCATCAAAAAAAATGAGTTGAGGTGGTTCGGGCATCTGATTATGCCTCTAGACGCATCCTTTTACAAGTTTTTGGGGCATGTCTTGTTGAGGAGAGAGCCCGGGGCAGACCTCAGAACTCCCTGCAGGGAATGTCCTCTCTGACATAGGAACTTCTCAGAGTAGGAGTTGGAGAGAGTCGCTGGGGAGAGGGATGTCTGGGTGTCTCTCCTGGACTTCCTGCCTCTGTGGCCCAACCATAGATGAGCAGTGGAAATTAATTTACTGGTTTTATTTTAGTTTTCATAATTCAGATTAGATGTTCTTCAGTGTTAATGTACCAAACAGTAAAACAAATCCTAAGATTTATCATTCAAAATGATGCTAATAATATTAAAACTAGATATTTTCAGCATATATTCAATTTAAAACTAATGCATTTGCACCAGATTTGAGTGGTTCGATGCTCTGACTGTAAAACTTTATGGTTTTGCACTGCCACCTACTGTTCATTTTTCTTTAATAACCTAATTCTCAGCGGCACGTCCCTAATGTTCGAACAAAACACAAATAATTCAAACATGCTTTTTGGTTTTGTTTAATTTTGGACCATAAATAAATTATACATGTCATGTTTTGTGAATGTATGTTTGTCCAAAGGAACCTGGTTGACCTTAGAGACACAAGGGCGTTGATGTTCAGTCACTTTGTGTTCATGAAGAGGAGCATCTTCTGCTCTGCCGACCTTGTAATCGTTTTTAAGGCATCATTAATTAATCTAATTGGAGCCCTCAGCGCGGTCTTACAGGCACTAACCTGTCATAGGTCAATTTGTTTAAAATAAGAACTTTTTTTTTATAAAACATTAAAAATAACAGTTGAGTTACCTGAACCCTATACTGCATTAAATAACTGGTTACACTTTCATTTTCAACATTATTTTGTAACTTCTTATAGAAAATCAGTGCATGGTTACCATGGTTACCCCAGAAAACATAAAATAAACATTTTATTTCATTTAACAGCTAACAGAGATATGTTGTACAAAAGTCAGTAAGAAAATGAGAAAAAGAACGTCTGAGTTATGAATGCAACAGTGAAACGTGCACAGATGTGCAACAAAATGATAAATACGAGTAACTGTACCAAAGTTCAAGCTCAATAATACAGTGTTCAGTCAGGTCATCTGGACGGTTGCTTCTTTTTTTTTTTTTTGCTGAGATGTTTCGTCCTTCATCCAAAGGACTTCTTCAGTCTGAGGAGCCACAAACACACAAATAAACTGGAGTCCCACAAATACCACACTCCCCGTTACATTTATAGTAACCATACTTGGTTTGTTCTGTCTGTTCATGTTTGGGGATGTGCGGTTCTAACACGCACGTGCACTCACATGCACAGCAACAGTTGAAGGGAGAGGGGCAATGTGAGCATTTGTGAATTTCCACAACACTAAACACAAACTGCATGCACTGCATGTTGTTTTGTTTGAATATGGACATGGAAAAACATTTTTTTTTTAATATGTTGCATAGTTTGGTCAAATAAGAACTATTATAGTGCAGCATCCACGACCTAAACCTGCTCTGTACGTTTTTGAGGGGTTGTAAAATTTTGCACACCTTTATGCAGTAAAGATTTTATTTACCAGATTAACAAAACTCAAAGCTATCAAAGTATTACTGAAATTTAAACATGTGCAGCACTAAAATAAACTGTTTAACTTCATTTTTTTAATATAATTCGCTAACTGTGCTGTGCTTATCTAAATTAAAGGCCTATATTCTGTAAAGAAAGTGCATGTGCATGTGCACCACATGTGGTGCGAATGACAATAAATAAACCTTGACCTTGCCTGAAGTTTGTTGTGCCAAAGTTTAACATTTCCTTTGAGAAATGGCAAAGTTGTAGCTGACGTTGTTGTCTTTCTGCACACATCACCACAAGATGTCACACTCAGAGTATGTTTTGAACGACTAACAACTACCACATCCAGTTTTAGCTCTGTGTTTTCAAAAGTGACACATTTTTGTGTTGTTGTCAATTAATTTAGTTGTCGGCCATCTGGAATTGGGTTGACTCCAAATGTTAATCATTTGTAGATGTGCATCTAGTGATTACTTTCTGAAGGTTTCATTAAAATCTGTTTGGCGTTCATGAGATATTTCGCTAACAGACAAAAAGACAAGTTGAGTGCAGTAGCTACCACAGTTTTTAGCACTGATCTTACCAAATCTGTTAGATTTCAGAAAAGGTGTTCAGGGTTGATCTCAGCTACTACCATTCCTAATTGTATGTTAACTGTAAAACTGCACGAATTATTACCATTTTTATGTTTCTAATGGTCAGTTTGATGCGGTGGCGGCAATCTGGAATCAGGACAGATGGACACTAAAGGTTATCATTCAATTGTAGATTTAACCATTGATTACTTTTTGCAAGTTTCCATAAAACTTATCCAGCGGTTCATGGGATATTTTGCTAACAGACAAACATGGCTAGGTCCAAAAGTTAGTGCTTAAATTGTTAAGACTGATCTGCGCTGAGTAACTCTTAAGAGTATTTGTTGGCCCCCTGCATCATGAAGGACCCCACTCACCCAGCACACACACTTTTTGCCCTGCTCCCCTCAGGCAGGAGGTTGAGGAGCATTAAGTGTAGAACCACTAGACTGAGGAACAGCTTCTACCCTGGGGCTGTTAGACCCATGAATCTCTAACCAGAATAATCACTGTGGAACAATCACATCATGCTGCTGATCTGTTTCATGTTGCTGTGTTCATTCGTACTTATCTGCTCACAGAGACTCATGTTCGTGCTGCTGTTTGGCGTATTGTTTTTGTACTACTAGTGCTTAATGTATTTTTTGTTAACGTTTTTCTTAGTTCATATCTTAGATCTTATTACCGTTTTTCTTTTACACTTTATACTTTTGTTGGATGTAACTGGGACCCTGAGTACACAATTTCCACCAAGTACCACATGTGGTCGTATTGAATCCTTGTGGTTGAGCCTCAGCTACAACGTCACCATATTTCAGCACAATATCTATAAACTTGCCTGAATTAACGCCATGTTTGTGTTTTCAAAGGTCAAATGGCTGCGGCAGCCATCTTGGTTTGGGTCGACACCAAACACAAGTCAGTTGTGGACGTATAACAGATGATTACTTCCTGCAAGTTTCTTTGAGGTTTGTCTAGAGGTCCATGAGTTATTCTGCTAACAGACAGAAATGTCACAGAACATTTGAATTATACAAAAACAGGAGGATCACCAAAGGGCGAGGGTCAACACTTTCCCACGAGCTCTCAAGCGCTCATCTAAAGGGAGGAGTTTATTTTTCGGCTCCGCCCACCTGCCTGTAAGGCAGCGTTCAGGGCGACGCGCTCTCGCGCTGCTACTCGTCTCTATGGAAACTCGTCGACGGCAACATCCCGCCGTGTGTTCTGACCCCATCCTCATACCTCTCTGATGTGCCGAGCGCGTGCAGCTGGTGCCAACAAACGACACCCAGCAAGATGGCGATTGTGAGGCTCCTCGTTTGTTTTGTGTTGTACGCCATCCTGGGTGAGTTCTTCTTCTCTGTCCCGCTCTCCCCGCAACAAATCTGCGGTAACGAAGACGTTGCGGTTGCGTCTGTTAAACCAGAACCGAGCCGTTGTCGGGGCTAACGCGACACGTTAGCTTGACACGAACGGGCTGAGAAAACACAGGCTCAATATGTTGCCTCGTTTTGTTTTATGAGCGGCTTTACTATCAGCAAGAGGATTTTTTTCACACACACACACAAAAAAAAAAGATATAATTGTTATTTCGACCGTTAAATTTAGCTAACACTACACCGCTGCATTTGTTGCTTTAAAATATGTTAGCGCTTGTGTTTGTCTCTCTGTGGGGCGACTATCAGAGGAAATGTCCACAATAAATGTACATTTATGTTAATTTAAAAGCATTAATAAGCCGTGACCTGTGGGGGGGTCAGGCCTGCATTTCATGTGCTTCTTGCTTACAGTCTTAAAAATTTTGCTGAATTAATTATCCGACACAAAACTGGCTCAGATGAGCTCACTTGAGTCCTGTTTTAGTTCTGACCTTTCCTTGTCACTGAATGACAGGGTCAACGCAATAAAGATTGAATAAATTTGGACATTCCAGCTGAAATGAGCAGAATGAGAGTTTCCATGTAGGCTAAGAGTTGAAACTATGTCCTAAATGACTGCAGTTTAAACTGTAATGCCCAAAGACAACACAAACAAAGTGGTTTGTTTTTAGTGTAAGCATCATCGTCTCCCCCCCAAAAATCAACGTTTCTATTCATGTGATCAAATCTGCAATGGTTTTGTAATGATTAGAAAATCAAATAAGCCCGTTAGAGATGATTTAAGTTTGCGTTGAAGATGTTCTATAAGATAAATGTGATGTTTGCGTCCACATCGTGCCGGTGAATGAAGAAAAACAGAAGTGCATCTACCAGAATGGCCAAAAAGTATCAGCATACTCGATATTAACTTCCTTTTTTATGGTTGTGGAAGCGCATACTTAAAGAGGTGGGGTAATTACATTTAAAACTAAACAAAAATTCAATTAAATGTGTTATTTAATTTACCCGCCTAAGGTCTGAGCCCTAATTATAGACTGTTTTTTCATTTGAATGAAGAAGACGAAGCAGAATGAATGTCTGGTTTGTTCCTGCGGCACCTGAATGACACGTAAAGCTGAATTATATGTTTTGCTTTAATGAATTAAACTACAGTTGTGCTCTTGCTGTGTTCTGTTAGGATGAAATCGATCTTTCCGTGCGTCTTTTAACTTTCTGTTTCACTTTAGCAGCTTTTTCAACATAAATGTTTGTTTGCAACTAATATTTAGTTTGTAAATTTATGTTGATTAGTTTAGCAACTTGTGAGATTTATTTTATATTCATATGCACATAAGAACATAAAAGGCATGTCTTAATTTCTTTAAATCAGGTATTTTTCATTTAAAGTCCTACGAGACAGAAGCGCAGACAGACGCCAAAACCAGAGAGTTTTAAGTTTTATTTCTTTTTAAATGTTTTAACTGATGAATGTTCTGTCATCAGACTAATAGAACTCTTCAGAGCTCCATTAAATGATGACAACGCAGATGTTCTCCCCATGTTCTCTAAAATAACAAGCTGGAATTAGAACTGCGGTGACACTCGGTTCTCTCTTGGGCCTCACCAGGACTCTGCAGAGATAAAACAATCTGGGTTTCATTTCTCGGCTCCCGCAGAGATGTTTCCTCCACCCGCGTCTTATTTGTCGTCCCTGATGATTCAGGAAAAGTAACACAAGGCCAAAGTAGAGTCCACGTGTCTCTTCCTTACATTTCCCTCCAGCTCCAACGACAGCACAGCTATCTGGGTGTAATCAACTGGAAGGGTTTTGACACTGTCACCCCACTCTGCCGTGAATCCCAGCGGTCCCGGCTCCTTCGACATATTTGCAGCGACAGCACTGGAATGTCTGGGAACGCGTCTTTTTATAGATGCATTGGATCAACGACTTTTGTTGCGAGGATAGGGACTGCTGGTTTGTTTTCAGACTCGGCACATAAGAGGATTGCAGAACTTGGCCATTTAAAAAGCTGGAGCCTCTTTGAAGCGGACCACAGACCCATTTTGATCATGCGTTACAATAGGAGGGAGATTAAAACCAGGCCGTGTTTTGCTTTCCGACGAGCGCCGAGATTATTTTTGCGAATCAGAAATATAGACTCCTCTTCAGCCGTGTCACGGTGGGGGAACAAAGGGTTTTTGTTTGAACGCTTTTATTCTAAGCTTGCATCAGTAATCAGCCACATATCGTCTGGTTAATTGATGGGGTTAGGCTTTCCCACGGCCTACATTTTAGCATTCATTTGGGAATTGATGAGAAAAGCTTTTAATGCGTTAATATTATGGAACTGGTCCACTCGTTTATATTGTGGCGTGATGTCGTGACGGGTCCAGTTATTGTGTCACACAAACAGGAAGGACTGAGAACTTAGATTTTTGGTTATGATTGGCAAAGCAGATCCTCCAGTGTTTTTTGGAAAACGCATCATCATACGCAGATGTGTTGCAACTGCAATTATAAAAGCTGCCGAGTTTTGTTATCGTAGTAGACCTAATTAAACCAGTCCTTGTGCTTTAGGTCCAAAGTGTCCAAAATGTGGCAGAAAGAAAATCTAAACCCTCCAGAATGAGGATTTGTGGAGGGAGCTGTTGATGAATGAAGCCTCCTTGTGTTTCACAGGATGTCCAGTCACAGCTGTGGTAAAAATAGACCCAAACGTTCAGGGTGGGAAAGTCAGCAGCCGCGACGGAAACAGAGACCTGGGAGTCAGATCTCATCAGTGTCCTCAGCTCTGTTTATCTGACCAGATCCTTTGGCAGGATCCGCGTTTCTTGATCTTCCGACTGAGCGTCGGCTCTAAACGAGCGTCCCCTTGTCGTCCGCGGCACATCTCAGGGTCACTCATCATGCTAACGAGGCCCCTCTGAATAAATACCTCTGCGTGCACGAGGCCTCGGGCAAACGGGCATGTCTTGTTGTGTTCGGGAGCTGCTCGTTGATTATTATTGTCTTATTTCTGTCCTCGTTTTATCCCTTTGTAACATCCCCACTGGGAGCAGGAATGCCTTCATTACTCGGCATGGGGGCTATTATTTGTACGTCTACCATCCAATTACTGCATTTGGATGTAGCCTAGACAAAGGGACGTTGAGTGCAGAGTAGTAGTCGGCACAATACTAATTTATCTCAAGACGGTTTCAAACAGAAGCGCTGCATAGTAATTTTCAGATTTCCCTAATTTGAAGTTCCTCTACATGCTCCTCTTCACAAAATTCACCCGTTTTCCACTTGAATCCTCCTTCGGCTGGTCCAGTTTTGACTAAACCTGTGAAATGTGCCACTTGCCATTAAAGGCTGACATTTATGAAATAACTCTGAATGCTCTGAGCCGTTCAGTCACACGTTAAAATAATTTAAATATCACGTGTTTGTGCCAGAGGGGAACCTTGACGGTGGATTAAACACCCAACATAAAGTTATTTTGGGTTTCCGTTTGATTTGTAAAAGTTGTGTAAACGTCTGCACAGATAAGAAAGTCCTTCCATCAAACTAAGCACTTCTGTTAAAATAAATAGAATAAAAATTTAGATTTTCCTTTGCAGGTCCGCAGCTTTTCAGACAACATGCTAACAACAAAGTGCATTAACTGCAAACTCCTTCAGCAGAACCGTCGCTCCTTTTTGAATGACGTGTGTGTTTTTGTTCACAAAGGTTGATGCACGGGAATTATTTTTCATGGAAACAGAACGGGACTTCTCTGCTCTGACGCGACTCATCGATCAGCTCCAGATGTTCCTCGTGTTATTAAAAGCCCAAAGGAAGCAGATTGCTGACTGTCACGTCCTTTAATCAGAAATAAAGCGTTCCTTCCCACTTCGTCTCAGGCCTCATGCCTGTGAGTCTTCTTGGTACAAAGTTGAGAAGTTCAAATGTTGACTTTGTCAGTCTGTACCTTTAATATTTGCAGAACTCAATAATATAATTCAATATGGATCACGTGAAACTATTATTACTATGACAGAAATCATATGGTCTGTAGTTTTACTGCAGAACTAAAACTAAAGACTAAAGCTTGTTTGTATCACTGTTATTATTCACTTAAAGCAGAACCTTTTAACAAAAATGAACATTTTCAGTTTGTGTTCACTCTGTTGGATCAATACTCGATAACTTTTCTAAAGTGTTACTGTAAAATATCTAAGATGCATAAGTAAGTGATTGTTTCTAAATTATTCACACCGTTAAGATGCGTTTTTCTTCCGTACGTTTTCCGTCTCGTAACTCGCTCCGCACTTTTTGTGCTGTTCCAGCATCATGTATCAAAACGTTCGGCTCGTTCAGGACGTTCCTGCTATGACTGTCTGTATTGGTGCAGTTTTTAATTTTTGAAATATTTAGCTTTTCTGGCATGTTTTTCTCATTAAAACAAATGGAGCTCTCCAAATCTTTTAAACCATTTGTGCTTTAAAATATTTTACTGCTCATTTCAGCTTTCGTTCTGGTTCAGCTTCTTTCTGCTCATTTGAGCCTTTTTGCTCTTTATTTGAGCTTTTTCCTGCTCCTTTCATCTTATTTCTTCTAATTTCAGCATTTTTACTTTTTTTTTTAGCTTTTCAAACTCAGTTTACTCAGATTCAAAGAACTTTATTTAACCCAATCATTTCACTAACTCTAGCTTCTTTCTGCTTATTTCAGTCGTGTACTTGTTCAGCCTCTTTGTGCTAATGTCAGCTTTTTGTGCCTTTTTCAGCTACTTTCTACTTATTTTCTACTTATTTTGGCTGTTTTGCGTTCTATTAAGCATTTTTCTTCTAATTTCAGCTTTTTTGTGTTCCTTTTGTATTTTTTTATGCTAATTCAGGGTTATTACATTCCTTTCAGACTTTTTTTTGTTGTTGTTGATAATTGCAGCATGTTTGTGCTACTTTTAGCTTCTTTCTACTATTTTCAGTATATTTTGTTGATAATTTCAGCTCTTTTATGCTTCTTTCAGCTTCTATTTTCAGCTTTTGGTGTATTTCAAGTAAGCTTTAGCTTGTTCAGCAGCTTTCAGCAAAATTATTCTGCAACAAGCATATTTTTTATAGCAATAATTTAATTTTTAACACCATCCAATGAAACTGAATTTAATCCAGGGTCAGAATATTCTTGTTCCAGAAGCCCTCTCTGTGTGGTCCACGTGTTCATTAAACTTGTGTGTTTTAGCATCGGGCGTTCGTCTCCTTAAATATAAAAATAGGAAGTAATTACTGAGACGTTTTCACACTAAATCAGATCCCAAGACTCAGGGTCTCCTGGTTTATCAGTCTAATCCACTGGTTATTAGGCAACATGCCCGGTTAATGTCTGCTGACAGACTTGCTTGTGTTTGGACTCAGGATGACTCTACGTTTGTCCCTTCCTCCTCCCCCATCCACAGGCCACGTTCCATCATCGCTCGGGGTAATCCTCCGGACCACGGACAAGATTGTTTGGGCAAATGAGTTTGAGCGTAAGTTGCAGGAGAATCACTCTCACCAACTGTGTCGAAGAAGCTTTTATTTTCCTGATTTGCGCTCAGGTTCTGTTTCCTCCTCAGCCGTCGAACTGACCTGTCTGATAGAGTCCATCTCAACAAACAACCCTCGGATAGAATGGAAAAAGATAAAAAACGGCAACCCCAGTTACGTCTACTTTCAGAACAAGATCTCAGGTAAACCTCTAAGCAAGTCGTTAAAAACAAACATCCAACAGCTCACAAGTCTCAGAACCAAAACCCAGCTGGATGAAAACTTTAAAGAACTTTGCACCAAACGTCCTGGTCTGTAGTCGTGCTCTGGATGTCAATGAGCGATTGTAAAGTCTTTTTTTCTTCTTCTCTGTTTCTTTGAAAAAAGGGGACTTGGAGAACAGAGCTCAGCTCAGAGAGCCAGCCAACATTCTGATCTTCAACACGTCTCGAAAGGACACAGCAGAGTACCGCTGCGAGGTGGCCGCCATCGAAGATCAGAGGGACTTTGATGAGATTCTTATTAGTCTCGCAGTTAGAGGTACGAGCAGCAGATACATCACGAACTGCACCACAAAACACTTGAACTTTGTGTATTCTCTATATTTGAATCCCTGCTTTACTTTAGAAATATACAGAAGTCCTTCATGTTGAAGAATGCATATTTACAGTTTAAAGCAATAATTAAAGTACTTTTTCTTTACATGAGCGGTTAGAGGAGTGGGTCAATGTCCTCCTGTCCCGAAAACATGAAGCTCAACTGTTTGATGTTGCCAGGCAACCATTTGTTGCCTCGGGCCTTGCATGTGGGATAAGCAGTTTGACCGCTGGGATGAAAATCAGCAGAAGTCCTTGAAGTTTCTCTGTTTAGCAGCCAGGTTCAGTGAAGAGGAAACTGTATTATGGTAGAAGTGTAAAACTTCTAAAACACACAAACCAAAGGAAATGACTGAGGCTTCAGATGTTTCTGCTTTTTAATTCCTGAAAAAGAGAAAAACATTCAGTGTCACTGATGGCGGAAAGAAGAGGGTTTGCTTTGTTCTCTTCAGGCTCTCGCCGCTGTCCGTTTGCTTCATCGGTCGGTGGGAAACTTGGCATGGCGCTGCTCTGATCCATCACCACAGATCGGCTGACTGCTCACTTTAACGTGTTTAGACGCAGCCTCTCGAGCCGTCCTTGGCCCGTGCTCAGAGAAACCCCAAAGAATCAGTGTCAGCATTGTTTGCTGTAATGTAGCAGAAATACAGATGCCCATAACTCACTGATTTACAACCTTTCACCGACAGCCTCTGCCACCAACACACAGTGAGTGTCAGTGATGCTGAATGTCAGTCCTCTTGCACTTAGAGCACTCTTCTTATTTGAAAACATTCTTTCCATGTTGTCGAGCGAAAACCAGGAATTGGAAATTCTGTTTGTCCTTTCATATTGTGAGCATAACTAGAAAAATAAGTGAGGTTTTGACTTCCATTTAGGTGTGTGGCTGTATCTAGACATAAGAAAGGCTTCTTTCACTTAAAAATATGGTTTCCTCAACTAATTGGGGCGGTGATGATTAATCTATGTGGCCAAGGCCACCACACTTGGCTCCACCATTGCACCTGGTCGTGAATAAAATTGTTCCTCCACTCACCAGGTTCGTCACTGCACCACCTCCGAAAAATGTCTATATCTCTTCTTCACAGTGTACAGTAGTCCCTCGCTACTCCGGGTTCGTTTATTGCGGACTTGCTCTATCGCGGTTTTTCAAAATAAGATCGGACATGACACACAATTGGCTGATTGATGAGTGAGCCTCACAATTGCATGGAATTTTTATTTAAAATACATTATTTTAAATTATTTAGCACCTGCTGCACATTTGTGCAGCCCACGCTGCAGGATAAACTTCCTGCTGCAGCTGATCAGCTGTTCACTGTGCAGATTGGAGAAGTGGGCGTGGCCAAGAGTGCTTGCAGGTGGCTGAGTGCAGAGGAGGCAGAGAGCTGAAATCATGACATTCTGTGCTCTTTTAGAGCGTTTAGAGTTTAGAAACATTGTTTAAAATGTTGCAAGAGTGTGGGAA